AGTTACCTCCCCAAATCTTGCAAATAAATCTCTCTTTTTCTCTATGCTATTTTAAGTTCTATTTCTGCCACCTATAACTTTAGAATTATGCTAATTCACACAGCATCAAAAATTCTGTCTTTTCTGCAGACAGCTGTTTTTCTTTCAATACCCCTATAAACTCATTCTTTCACTGGTCAAGTTCATTTCCTCATAGACATCTCACCTCTATTTTGGGAGATAGGTAATCTAATACTACCCAATTTTACAGATTGGAACAGAATCTAAAGTTCAGAAGGGTTTGCCAAAAAATGCTGGGATCAGGATTCAAACCCAGTTTTAAGGTCCAGGGAGGGCTGTTGCCCTTTTTTAGGTAACCTCTCTAAACCAGACTTTCCAAATACTGACAGTATTGTTTAAAAATAACAGAACTGGGGCCTCCCTGGTGGCCTAGGAGTTAAGTCTCAGCGCTTCCACCATGAGGGTCAACTGCAATTCCTGAGTCCAATCCCTGGCTAGGGAGCTGACCCACATGGTGCAGCAGACCTCTCCTGTCTCACCCACTGCTCCCCTCAGCAGTTTATTTCAGTGGATCTACCTGTTCTGCTCCCCACTGTCTCTGGTGAATCCTCTCACACCCATCTCTGGACTACACCCTAGTACTTCTATACAAAAATTAATAAATAAAATCTGCCTAAAGTCACAAGAAGAGCATTGAAGCTGGACTCCAAACTAACACTTCAACTATGGGTCTGTATAGGTGACTCTTTGAACCATCTTTGTAGCTGTTCTGTAAATTTAAAACTACACTAAAATAAAAATTTTATTTAAAAAATAGGATGGGGTGATGGCTGCACTCTATCAAAAGTTTGCTGAAAATCACTTAACTGTAAACTTATGTGAATTTAATGCTACACATAAATTATCCCAGGGGTCTAAAGAGCTAAAGTGAAAAGATCATAAAATCAAGAAACACGAGAAAGGAATAACTAGAATGTTTTTTATCCTATCAAGAAATATAAAAGTAATTCTGTATAATTCATATATTCCATGTATGTGAAGAATAGGCAAAACTGGCTCATGTGATAGAAATAAATAACTTCCAAGTGGTACTTATTTTATTTTATGTATTTATTTTATGAGAAGAATGAGGCCACCTTGGTCACTGAATGTTCTATACTTTGATCTGGGTGATGGGTACAGGAGTAATAAGTTTATAGTGTTAAATGAAAAAGGTAGGATTTTACACGATAGTGGCTTCTGATTAGAGTAAGTGGAAGGGGAGAAAAGGAATAAAGAAAATGTGCCAAAATGGTTAACACAGGGTGGTAGAATTTCCTTTACATTTTATTGTATTTTCAAACTTCTCTACAGCTATGGTAGTGTTTTTCTTCAATTCAGTAAATGCGTCGATTGAGTTTTATTTAAATTTTTTACATTTACATAAAAGAACCTCAAAAAGTTTAAAAGACAACATTATGTGGACTGAAGTGAGTGAAACTACAAAGAACCAGGTTAACACCCAAACAGTTTGCAAACATGGTCTGTTTACACCTTATAAGGAACAAGATGTCCCAGAAAGGAGGGGGAAAAAACAACCCTAGAATTCCTAGGAATGGAGAGAAATCACTGTGTGGAAGAATCAGAGACAGGAAATTATAAAGTTACATATTTTCTCACTGATAACACAAAAGAACTGGAATCTGTTCAAAATTCTAAAGGTTCAGCTTTTAAGTTCAGCTGCTCTGGGGTTTCCTGATGCAAAAGATTTTAAGAATCAAAAGAAGGTAGTAAAATAATGAATGGCTAGAGACTAACTTTTTTTTTTCTCTATGTATTTAAATCTGATTTATTCTTAATTTTGCACATTATCTTATTCTTTATTTTATTTTATGATTCAGAAGACACAATATTCATGTTTTATATTTTCTATCACAGTTACAACATTAACAGCAGGGTCCCAATACTTTGTGAGGTTTTTAATACTGTCTCCATTTTAGTTGTTTATTTTCATCTCAATTGTAATCCCCCGTGGGTTTCCCATCACCGAGTCACCCGTGCACTCCCCCCCATTTTTGATCCCATTCCCCACTCCACCCCCACAAAATGTAGAGACTAACTTTTAAGGAGGAAGTACATTAATCCAGTAGTGAATTAATTGTTCCTTTAGTATGTTTTTCTCCCATGCCACCCATGCCCCACAAAGAAAGCATTATTAGATATAAGGTTATCTTCTCTTAGTTCTCTACAATTAGAATTCACATTTTAATCCTCACTTAGTACAAATAGTTAATTCTAGACTCTCTTCCACTATTTTTTTTTTAAAGATTTATTTATTTGTGCATACAGAGCTGGGGTGCAGGCCAGAGGCTCAGGGGCGGTGAGAGGCTTCACCAGAGACAGAGAGGGGGGCAGAACAGGCAGATCAATGAAGTACAGTGCTGAGGGGAGCAGCGGGCGGGTCAGGAGAGGTCTGCCACGCCATGCGGTCACCTACGGGGCAGGCAGGGCTAGAACTCATGCGGAAGCGGCTTTAGCTTCTTAGTGCTGTGCTTTAACCCGCTGCGCCACCAGGGAGGGCCCTCTTCCACTATTTTTAAGGTATAAATTTCTAAAGCCCAAAGAGAAGAATCATCAATATATTGTACTGTTAAGCATGTTAGGGGTTAAAGTCTCAGCTCTATCAAGCTTTTGCCAGCCACTGCAGCATGAGCCACTGCAGCATGAGTTCAATCACTGGCCAGCCAGGAGCTAGCCCAACTGGAGCAGCACAGATCTCCTATCTTGCCAGCTGCTCCCCTCAGCAGTGTATTTCAGTTAGATCTGCCTGTTGTACTCCCCACTCTGTCTCAGGTGAATCCTCTCACTCCCCCACACCTCTGGCCTGTATCCCAGCACTTTTATGCATAACTAAACTTTTGAAAAATAAATGTAGCATTAAACATTTCCACTTCACAGCTACATTATCAGAATGAAACTAATTCAAACAAAACAACTGCTTAAGACCAGAAAAAGGAGGGTAAATGTCTGCATCTTGTTAAAAGTAAATTTCAGGGCCCTCCTTGGTGGTGCAACAGATGAAAGCGCAGCACTAAGAACTATCTGCAGCATAAGTTTGATCCCAGGCCAAGGCAAGAGGCTCTTCTCAGAGAGAGAACTCAGCCCAGTGAGAAAGAATCAACTGGAAAAAAAAAAAAAACAAGTCCTCGTGGTTTATAAATTCCTGATTTTAGTTGTTTCCGACATACAGCCATATACCTCTGTGCCACAGAAGTTTCAA